TTAACTTTTTGATTCTGGATTTGGATGGCCATTCTGCTGCCGAACGCCACACTGTTGGCGCAGGCCCCTGCAAAGATTGGGTGATGTGGAAGGATGTTTTAACAAAACAATGGATGGGCCCGCATCCTGTCTTACGACGGACGCGAGGAGCGGTTTGTGTTTTTCCACAGGATTCTGATGGACCGGTGTGGGTGCCAGAACGTTTGACGCGAGTGATAAGAAAGCCGGAGCAAGATGAACCTGTGGACGTGGTGGATGCTGACCAGCCTGATGTTCATTCAGATACCGAGAGGAGACAACCAGAATCTCCAGCTAAAACTGCACCATAAAAGGTGTGCAGCAAATATTGACTCGCTGTCTAGGGCCTTGGAAATGGCCCCCAGAATGGACTGCTGTCAAAGTACTGTGACTCCTAGAAGAGTAGCACCTGATCTTGCTGTGACCAATTTATTTCCTACCTGTTCAAATTGTGCCTTTGTGGGGTATAACTATATATATGGTAACCCTGTTCAATCTGTTTCTGCTCAGTCTTGGAATGTCTGGGTACTTTGCACTAATAGGGGTGGGTGTTCAGATATATCAGCTTTTGCATTTATTGATAAGGTAGTGATAAGAAATTGTAATTATAGTAGTAGTAGTTCTAGAATATGGGAAGAAAATGTTAAAGTTAATTGCAGTTGTTATGTTATCTATAATGCTATTTATGTATGTGTACAAGCTCCATTTATGTTTATTGTTAATTGCTCTGTAGTTAAGTGAGCCCTTAACCAGTGTTGGAATGGCTCTGGCACTGTGGTGCTGGTACGCATTCCACAACTTATTTCCATCATATGGGGACCTCCTGTGTGCTTAGTCTACCTGGAATGTGTGTCACTCCCTCTATTGTCACCAATGGTTCCCGAGCACTGAATTTGTCCAGAGAATTATCCGCTACGCTATCCCCTAGTGGAAGCTGGTCCATACGACAAAAGTAGAGATTGCCACAGTAAAGCAATGGACAAATTGCATACTAAAGGATCTTTCCTTTGCACACCAATGGGCTGGTATAGTAGCCATGGGCCTTATATCATTCTTTGGGGTCTGTGGATGCTTCATCCTTGAGCACAGCGTCAGCAGCAGTAACAGCAGCTGCTAGTGCAAGCTGTGCTTGCCCTTCACAGCAGATAATCCCTAAAAGTCTGGCTAGGCATGCTGGACCGGTAGCCAGAGACGGGTAAGTATCCGATATGGCTTCACCAACCTAAGACAGGTGCCACGTTCCTAGCCACGTGGTTAGCCCATGATGGGTAAGGGGAGCCTGAACTCGGAACACCTAAGACAGGCACGGTCCCTTGCTTAATAAAACAAGAAGGGGGAGCTGTTGGGGGCACTGACCATTTCCTGCCCTGTGATTGGCCCTTTGCCCTGATTGGTGTGCCTTGGTTCTCTTTAAGTTGATTGGTCAAGTTTGACAGTTAAGCGGGGGGCTTGGCGGGGGAGGGGCTGGAGCGTAACGGATATAACGGTGATAACGGTCAACGGACAACGGTTACGACGGGACGGAGGAGCAGAATAAAAGCGCCTTGGAGACTCTCTCAAGTGTCGGGTGATTTCTTCCGCGGGACGGGAGGACCCCCGATAACAGGGTTCTAGGTCTAGTAGGCAATTGAGATCCTCGATCCAAGCTGCAATTCACATCATTAAGAACTAGACAGACTTTCATCCCCAAAAACGGCTGTCAGCCTGGCCTGGGAAGATCGACCAAGTATTTGAGTCCATGCCACACACACTCAGCACCCATGTGGAGTCCTAGGCGCCTGGCTTCAGCCGCCCAGTCCTAACTGCCACAGGAATACGGGGAGTGAACCAGCCCATCCAAGTGCTCTCTCTCAGGCTCTCTGCTCGCTGGCTTGAGCTCTGCCTTTCCAATAAATAACTTAAAAGAAAAAGTTCACTGCAAGAACCAGCGAACAATACGAACTGTCACACAAGAGTTAACATAATAGAGCCAAACAGCTACGCCTAGAAACATCTGTCTTTATATTAAGGACACATATACTTTATACCACAACATAGACTGACACTAATAACCCCCTAAAAAAAAAAACACTGCAGCACAGGGTCCATTTCACTTTACCATGACCTTAGAAAGGTATTTAAATTCTCCCATAACCCTACAATTACTGATCCCAAGAATTCTCACAAATTACTAAGTGCTGGTCAGATCTCGGTGCAGGCAAACATCATAAACTTCTTTAAACAGTGTGCAGAAATTGGCATACACCTTATACACTGTTGCAAGCAATGTAAATGGGTAAAATGTTAAGGCAATGAAACAACATCTATCAAAAAGACTAAATACATCCATGCTTTTTTTTATACAACAATTCTACTTCAGAAGTGCTTAGTACATGTACACAAGGATGTATGTACAAGAATTTATTCACTGCCATCTTTCTCAATAAAAACACCTGAAACAGTATAAACACCCATCAATAAAGTATTGGCTAAATGAATTATTGCATCTAGTCTCTGGAAAACTTTATAAACAAGGCAAAAATAAGGCAGATCTAGTTAGTATGTGCTACTATGGAACAATCATTAAACGAAACAAAAGTGCAAGTAAATATGGCTTATCAGCATTCATACTTAAAAAGGGGATATGTTCATATTTTCAGTGCACGTGTTTCAGTATGTTCAGTATCTATGCAATGCACACAACATTCTAAGAACACACAAGAAACTGGTAACAACGGCTGCCACTTGTTCAATCTTTATCTTCTTTTGCTCACACACACACACATCCTGATGATAAAAAAGCTAGATAATACGCACAACTTTATTAATTATCAGCTCAAAAATGGAGTTGGCGTCTGCCGGTTTCCCTTTTTTGATACTAACAGTAACAGCTCATTTCAAACTCTGTCAAACTCAAGGCTTTGTCAAACTCAGGCACAATGACTGGGGCCGGTTGTTAGGGCACACTGGGTTAACTCCCACTTGGGACACCTGTAGCTCATATAGGAAGGCAGGTTCAAATCCCAACTGCAGGATTCCAATCAAGTTTCCTGCTAACACACCTGGCGAGGCAGCAGGGCAGGCCTCAAGCCTAGAGTTATGCATCTACATTCCACATGAAGAAACAGGTGGGTTTCCTAGCTCCCAGCTCAGCAAGGCCCAGCCAGAGCTATAGAAGCTATTTGAACAGAAATTAAAAACTGATTTTCTAACATGTGTCACTCTACTTTTCAAATACAGAAAGAAAACATAAAAAAAAAAGGACTGTGCAATAGCCTAGTAGCTATATCCTTCCTTGCAGGATCCAGAATTCCATATGCCAGTTAATGTCCTGGCAACTCCACTCCCTTCCTGCTTTCTGCTTGGGGCCTGGGGAGAAGCAGAGGATGGGCGAAAGCCTTAGGACCCTGCTCCTACATAAGAGCCCAGAAGAAGCTCCTGGCTCCTTAGCTCCAACTATTGCAGCCTCTTGGGGAATGAACCAGCAGACTGAAGTTCCTCTCTGTATTTCCTTTTCTCTGTATATCTGCCTTTCCAATAAAAATAAATGAATCTTAAATAAACAAACAGCTTTCCGAAGTAGCTCACTCAGAAATACTGAAAAGTATCCAATTTAAATTTGAACTGCTTTCCATGAAATACAGGTTCAAAGATAAATCTGACCAAAGTGGACAAATTACAGGTGCAAACACTTGGCCTAGCAGTCAAACACTCCCTGGGATGCGCAGGGTATGGGTTTGAGTAACACCCCACCCTACTCCAGGTTCCAGCAGCCCGCCAATGTGCACCCTGAAAGGTATGCTGTGATGGCTCAGGCCATTGGTATCCCTGCCACCCACAGAGGAGACCCGAGGTGCACTGAGCTGGGCTGGCTCTGTTGCCAAGATTTAGGGAATGAGCCACCAGATATGTCATCGCTGGGTCTTGGCCTACATATAAAAAATTTTAAATCAATTGAGCCCATCCAGGCCTGCTGAAGTCCTGGCCACACTTTCAGGTGGCCGACACCAGCATTGCTCACCCATTTTCTAACTAATTAAGAGACCACCAATGGGGAACACCTTACCTGTAGTTCACACCCAACAAGGGGGGGGAGGGCCGGTCAGGGAAGCCTTAAAACACCAAGACCCTTCCTCAAACCTTCGGTGTCTCTCTCCCCCTCCCGTATGGAGGGGCACTTCACCTCCCGGTTTTCTTTCCTGGGGTGCTTCCCTTCCTTTTCCCTTCCCTGCTCACCTGGTCCCTTCGAAAATAAACTTTTCTGTCTGTAAAACATTCCCGGCTTTTTATTTCTATACTAAGCTGAGGAAAGAACCCACCGGGCATTTCTGGTAACACAGTCTTTAGCACGGTTAAAAAAACAATTCTCGAGGAAATGTTAATAACAGATCCCCTAGTCACCATGAGCCATGGACTCACTCCCGGTGCAATGGACAGCATTTTGACAGGATCACATTAAAAACTTAACCCAAAGATCTATCAGGCGGGCTCTATGCTTGTCTTCCACTTGGAAAAAGGAACACAGGGAAATGGCTCAAGAGCTCAGACCTCTTTCCTCTACAGATACTAAATATATACAATTAAAGGACTTCGGGCTAAAATCATTGCACAGGCTAAGCACCACTCACTCACTGAGCTCAAGTCAGTCTGTCTCAGGAGCAGCACAAACACAAAAACCTCCACAGACCTGAGTACCTGGGCCCCCTGAGCAGCTAAGCACCATATGGCAAGGCCAACGGCCCTTCAGTTATCACTTGCTGGCTGATTGATTCCAATGGTTTCTTAGACCCCATCCCTAGAGAGGGGGAGGGACTGCATCGCTAGTCCTCCCGGCGCTTTGTGTCTCCCCGGCTTGAAAGCATTCCGGTCACCTCCCTTGGGGACAGGGGACGGGAGGAGGCCTTTCTCGATAACTTTTTGTTTGTCTGCACTGAACCCCCGGCCTGCCCGGCCGCCCCCTGCTCCCCGGCGCCACAGGCCCAGGCCAGGTGGCCGCGGCTTACCGGTGGGCGCGCTGTCCAGGATGCGCAGGTCGTAGGCCCCGGAGCAGCGGTAGTTGGCGGCCGTGCCGTTGTCCCACACCACCACCACTTCCTCGGGGCTCTCGAAGCTCCGCACGGTGCCCACATGGCCCTCGCCGCCGTCCTGCTTCCCCCACTTCCAGTCCGGCCCACGCACTACCCGGGCCCCGACGCCTTCCACCATCACCCGGTTGTTCCGGGAGTTACTCATCGGGGCCCGGGCGGTGGGCTCTGCCGCCGCTGCCGCCGCTGCCGCCGCTGCCGCCGCTGCCGCCGCTGCCGCCGCTGCCGCCGCCGCCGGGGGGCCCGGAAAGGAGCCGGGCCCAGGCCGGACTCTCGGCGCCGGCGGGGGCGGCAGCGAGCCCCGGGCGACGTGGGAGGAACTCACGGGGACGCCCGCGCGCTCCGCGCCGAGCCCACAGCCGCTCCCCAGCCGCCGCCGCCGCGCCCCCCGCTCGCACTGCAGGCCGGCCCGCGGCGGCTCCGAGGCGGCGGCGGCGAGGGGCCGGACAGCAGCGGGCCGGGCCCGGGGGCTCTCTCGCTTCCTCCGGGCTCCCCGGCAGGGCTACAGCGACGGCCGCCAGCAAACCTCGCTCTCCCCCGGCCGGGAGCGCAGAGGGCCGGGGGAGGCTGGCCCGGGGGGAACGCCGAGGACCGCGGGGAGCAAGCCGGACGGCCGGCCTCGGTTCTCCCCGGGCCCTTCGCCCCGAGGTGGCCGCCCCAATGCCGGCGCCGACGCCTCCCCCGCGGGCCGCGGTGGCACCTCCCGGCGTCCGGCCAGCGCCCGGGCCCAGGGGCCTCCTGCTCGCTGCCCCCGCGCACGCCGCCGCGCTCCGCCCCGCCACAGAGGCCCCGCCGGCCGAGAGCGGCTCCACATCCGGGTCCCGCCGCAGCCCAGGCCGGAGCGGCACCTGCCCGGAGCGCCCGCGGGGCGGGGGGATGCTCAGTCACGGGGAGGGGGAAGGGTTTCCGAGGGTCGAGCGAGCGGGCACAGAAAGGAGCGGAAAACCGGGCCCTCGCCGTCCTCCCGGGGCCCAGGCACAGTGCGCGTGCGCGTCCCGGGCGGGCGGCGGGGGGGGAGCCTCACCCCCGCCTGGGGCGCCGAGGGGATGGGCCCGGGGGGCGGGCCTCTCCTCGCCGAGGAGCGCGCCATTGGCTGAGGGGACAGGGGGCGGGGCTTGCCTGCAGGTGGGGCTGGAGGAAGTGAGGATGTGGGTTAAGAGCCGGGCTGCTGGGCGCCGCAGCCCCAGTGAGGTCTGCCTGTCCTGTGCTTCTGCTGCTCCTAAGTGTACTAAAGTCTGAATTTCGGGGTCCCTGTGGTTTTCTTTCAGGTTTTATCGGGGGCGGCATAGAACAGATTCTAGCTCAGGTTAAGGACAGCCTGTCTTTCCCAGTTGTTTATCTTCATAGCATTTCAAACCAGAGTGGTTAATGAGTGATAGGGCTTTCCAGTGAGCTGAAGGTGCTGCTTGTCGTGAAGCCTTGTGAAAGGCATAGCTTCCGTTTGTACAAGATCGTGGTGGGAAGACGCCACACTTGCCTGTTGGTCCCCGAGACACGCCATCCCCTCAAAGGGAAATATGCAACATTGGAACATGTTGTCCTAGCTGAACAGCTCTCTTAGTAGCCAAAAGTTGCTTTTCCTTAAATGACGTCCTGGCGTGAAGGATTTAAAACATTTATTCATTTATTTATTTGAGAGATTTACCAGAGAGAGATCCTCCATGTGCTGGCTTGCTCCCAAATATCCACAACAGACAGAGCCGGACCGGATTGCCTGAATCCAGGACCCAGGAGCTTCTCCTGTCTCTTATGGGGCGGGCAGGGGGCACGGTCCCAAGCTCAGTGGACACTCTGGTTGTTTCTCATAGTCCATGTCCCTCAGTCCAGTACCTAGCCCATAAGCCCTTTTCCCTTCTCAAGTTGCTTAATTGGCCAGTTTCAAAGCTGATGAGTCAACTAAAGCTTTTTTTCCAGAAGGACTTCATTCCCAGCCCTTGGTATTTTGTTGTAGTGTGAAGGTTAATTTTGTTTCTCAGCTGGGCCAAAGGTGCTCAGAGAGTTGGTCCAGCATTGCCCTGGGTGTGTCTGTAGGGATGGATATGTTTGCCTGAGATCAACATTTGAATCCATAGACTGAGTGAGGCAGGTGGCCCAGCGCCACGTGGATGTGCCTGATCCAATCAGTGAAAGACATGAGGAGATTCAAGAGGCTGAGTAGGTGGGAGCTCCTTCTTGCCTGGCTGCTGCAACTGGGCCACTTTTCTTCAGCAGTCAGACACCCGCTGACACATCAGCCCTCCTTGAGTCTCAGGTCGGGTGGCTCTCGGACTACAAAGTGCACAGTGGACTCTGTCGCACTCACACCATGGAACTTAGACTAGGCCTACAACCTGGGCACTCCTGGTCTGCACCCTGCTGACTGCTGATCCTGGGACTATTGCGATAGACACATCAGATGTTGGTTTACCTGTATATTTATCAAATATACTTATGTATCTCTCTTACTGGTTCTCTCAAGAAAATGTTTTTCTTTTTGTGGGAGGTGGAGCTACATAAAAGTTAAGAAAGTATTGCATTATGAGCCCAAGAAAGACACATTCACACGTGATAATTGGGCCAGTTATCCAGTAGAGTACCTCTCTCCTTTGCCTGTTAAGTGACGTGACAAACCCTATATGTTCACAGGGCAGCCCCATATTCCAACTCTGTGAAGATACTGTGGTCTCCCTCAGCATAAACACCCCACATGTGAGAAATAAAACCAATAAAAATAAATGCGGGGAAGTGGGAATTCTTTTTATATTCCAGGGCATTTTCTGATAGTAAAATTGTGAGTAAAGCTATGTCAACCTCTTAACACCTGAACCTGTCTATTCTGGTCATAGGAGCATCATGTGTTTGTCCAAAGTGTGTCTTCTGTCCAATCAGTGTTACTCACTTGGTGTTCTGTGATCTGGCGTTTACTCTCGACCATAACTCAGGAGCAAACAAGCTAATTCTCAAAGGCAAAACAGCTAAAGAGAGAAGAAGACATAATTTTGCCTGAAACGCTAGTGAGTTGCACTGAAATTCCACAACTGTCATTTCACAGAGGATCCATGGGGTCAGCACTATGGAGTCCCAGCATCTCTGCTTCCATTCCAGCTCTCTGCTCATGCATCAGGGAGAGCAGGGCAGCATGGCCCTAGTGCTTGAGCCCCTCCACCCATGTGGGAGACTCAGTGGAGTTCCAGGCTCCTGAGTTTGGCCTGACACAGTCCTAGCCATGGCAGCCAGTGGTAGAAGATCTCTGTCTCTTCCTTCCTCTATCACTCTGCCTTTCAAACAGAAGAAAATCTTGGGCAAGAAGAATGATTCTTGGAGAGTCTGCATCTGTCCATGCAGATACTTTAACATTGGCTTTGTGAGGTTTCATCGGCCGTAGCAGGAACGCTTGCTCCACAGTCCACGTCTGCAACAGACTCTTCTCTTGCTTTAGGACCTGGTACACAGGCCAAGGCAGTAGACTCTGATGGCTTCTGGGATCCCGTAGAATTTTTCATCTTCATGGCCGGTTCATATTAATTTTTAAAAGGAAATTTCCCTTTCCCTTTGCCTCTTCACTCTAGAAAAAGTTTTCCAATCCTTTGATGGGAGAAGAAGAAAGGAGGAAAGACCCTGTGAGATAAATTCTTGCACTGCATCACAGGGTCATTCCTCCGGGGACCCCCCTTCTTCCTTCATGGACTTGTGCATTGGCTGATGCTCATACACTGACCAAGTCATCATTCACTTTGTGACATAAGTAAGTTGTCTGCTTGTCAACGCTAGAGCTTTTCTGTAGTATAGAGCAAGTTTGATCTCAAAAGTTACTTACGGTCAAGCACTTGACCTAACACTCAGGGCATCCCATATGACAGCCTGCATCCCGTGTCAGAATGTCTAGGTTTCGTGCATCCCTCCAGCTTCCTGGACTATGGGAGACGCAATGAGAGTGAAGCAGTTGGGTCCTTTCTGCCCACACGAGATTGAATTCCTGACTCCTGACTTTGAGCTTGTCCCAGTCCTGGGCATTGTGAGTATTTGGGGAGTAGTACTTGGGAGTTCCTCTTCTCTTTTTTTTCTCTCTCTCTCATTAATTAACTAGTTTTAGGGGCCCGGCAGCGTGGCCTAGCGGCTAAAGTCCTCGCCTTGAACACACCAGGATACCATATGGGTGCCAGTCCTAATTCCAGCAGCTCCACTTCCCATCCAGCTCCCTGCTTGTGGCCCGGGAAAGCAGTAGAGGACGGCCCTGCACCCGCGTGGGAGACCCGGAAGAGGTTCCTGGCTTCGGACCAGCATAGCACTGGCTGTTGCGCTCACTTGGGGAGTGAATCATTGGACGGAAGATCTTCCTCTCTGTCTCTCCTCCTCTCTGTATATCTGCCTTTCCAATAAAAACATAATACAAATAAATCTTTAAAAAAAAACAAAAAAGATTCCAGGGGCCCAGCATGATAGTGTAGTGGTTAAAGTCCTCTCCTTAAACACGTCGGGATCCCATATGGGAGCCAGTTCTAATCCCGGTGGCCCTGCTTCCCATCCAGCTCCTTGACTGTGGCCTAGGAAAGCAGTCAAGGATGACCCAAAGCTTTGGGACCCTGTACCTGCATGGGAAACCCAGAAGAGCATCTGGGCTCCTGTCTTTGGATTAGCTCAGCTCCGACCCAAACAGTAGCTTGGGGAGTGAATCATTGGACAGAAGACCTTCCTCTCCGTCTCTCCTCCTCTATGTATATCTGACTTTCCAATAAATATTAATAAATCTCTTTAAAAAGAAGAAAAAGAAATAATAAATAAATAAATATGCCAAGCAAAAGAAGGCTAGTCTGCTCAGACTTTGCAACAAATAGGTTTTGGTTGGCAAAGATAGTGCAGGAGAAATCTACAAAAGAAGGAAGGAAGGGTAAGAAGGAAAGCATGTTGGTTGGATCTCAAGGGTGTGATTTCAGCAGACTCCATGCTGTATGATTTCATTTATGTAACACTCCAAAGTGACAGCACTGCAGTGATCAAGTAGGCATGTAGTGATTCCAATGCCTACATCAGGGTCAGCATTGTGGCACAGAGGGTTAATGTGGCACTTGGCAACATGAGAGTGCCGGTTCAAATCCTGGCTCCTCTGTTTCCAATCAAAGTCCCTGCTGATGTCTTTCTGCCTTTCCAATAAATGAATACACAGAGAAGTGGCTTTTAAAGTCCTCCATCCATTGCTTCTCAGATGTGTTAGGAAGGAGCTGGCTCAGAAGCAGAGTGCTGCAAGCAGGCACTCCAGTGGGGTGTGGCCATCCCATGGGGCTTCCCCCACACCAAAGTACCCACCCTGCTTGCCAAGTGGTTATTAGCTCCTTTGGTAATACAAGATACTATCACTGGAGAAAATGGCAACATGTGCCGAGGAACTCTGTGCTGCTTTTGCAACT